CTAGGCACCCATTTTAGTTTTAATGGAAAACCTGCAATAACAACAAAATCATGCGATGTAAGACTATTGTGAACTCTGAATGATGATTATTTTAAGAATAAGAGTTTGTGGATCTGCGAATAATAATAAATAGATAATTGGTTCCATTGTTGATGCGGTGGATACCAAAAGATTATAGTGACATTATTTGCGCTAGTATCATAAGATTGAACATGTGAATTATTATGTTATAATTTCGTCCCTCACAAGTTGGTCGAGATGCCTCATTTGAGATGAATCCTGGACAATAACGAGTAGGATATGGACTCACCTGTGTATATCGGTGAACTATTACATCTCTTTGCACATCATGAGATTCGTATGTTTATCTGTGTGCATTTGAGTGTTAAATATCAATTCATATCATCTATTTTTATTAATTGCGCACATGATTATAGTCATCTACAACACATGTTTTATGTCTCATAGGAAATGTAAGAAAAATGTTTGAAAAGTGTGGGCGAATATTCATTGTATAGAGTAGGTTGATCTCCTTATTACCGTCGTGGGCAAGTGTTGGGAAACTTAACATGGTTGGTTGGTGCTTGTAATGACTTTTACAAGCTCATTTGATGTTCTTGTTGATGGTATTGAGCAAAACATTTTACAAGCTCATGAAAATCTTCGGCCAGGGAGTGTTTTTGTGAACATAGGTGATGAAAACGCTTCATGTTTTGTCTACTCTTCTTTATCCCATCTTTCAATACTCTTCAAATACACCGACACAGTATGAGAACGAAGCTGTAAAGTTCCAGCAAACATCAGACGCACACACTCGTAAAACAGAAGATAATCAACGTAGAATCAACAAAACAAGTGTGATCGAGACATTTGCTAGCTCATTCAAGCCGAAATACCTGGAAAATCTGGAAATGCAGCTTCAATTTTTTGCAGAGGCTCAGAGAGACACCTAGAGTGAAAGGATTACGTCGAACAAACGGAGAAATTCGCCGGAGGGAGTGAATCGATGGATAGGAGAGAGAGAGAGAGAGAGAGAGAGAGAGAGAGAGAGAGAGAGAGAGAGTTTCGGGCAATTGCTGGTTTCACCGGTTCGGTTCGATTTAGCCGGTTTGGTTCGGTTCAGTGCAAAGAATCAGTAATTGGACCGATAGTTGCCAGTTCCAAAAATTTGGGATTGGGAATTGATTCGGTTTCCAGGTTGTACCGGCACCGGGGTCTCAGGGGACTTTTGTTTGAGTTCCTTGATACCTTGGTACTCGTGCCCGGGATATTTGCTTTTTTATGTTCTTTTGTTACTCTATATATGCAGTTACTCTATGATGCTTTTAACTATTGTGAGTGTGGAGTACATATATATGTATAACAAAAATTTGTAGGTCTCCCCATATTATTTTTTTCGTCCTCCCCCTCACTCCTTAAAAATTAAGGTCCTTAGAGCTAAGCACAGAGGAGTTCTTCTAGATATATACACCATCAAGAGAGATATGAAAAATCAAAAGAAATATCCAATAAATATCTCTAAGATATATCCTAAATATGGTGACGTAGAAAAAGTGAACTTGAGTTCGGATAAAAGATTCGAAAAACGCCCAGGTGGATCACTGAAGCATTTGGTGTGCCAAAGAGAGAGAACCGGATGACATTGACGTGGTTTGTCGGGAGTTTGTCGTCACGGCTGGAGGTTGCGGTTGTGGCAGGTGGCTATCGTGACTGCTGTTTAGATTACGCGACAACAAAACAGGCTGACGTGATTATTGAACGAGACAAACAATGTTGAGAATCAATGTTGAGAGAGGGATATTAGTAGTTATTGAAAAAGAAAATGATACGAGATGCGACGCTCTTTGGGTTTGCACCTCAGGATCATCAAGCTCTCAAAAAATAGAATTGTGTGATCTCTATATATTTTTCTATTTGTCTTGATAAAGAGTACATGTGCCTAATTATAAGATTCATTAGATGGCTATCTAGATAATATATCAATAAAAGATATGTACAGTCAAAGTGAAATATAGAGAATTTTTTAAATATATGCACTATTGCGAGAGAGAGAGAGAGATATGGAAAATCAAAGAAAAATTCTAAATATCTCTTGAAAAAATCCTAAATATCTGTATCGCACTAGAAGAGCCATTGACAATCACCTTATCGGCAGAGCTAGCTTATATTGTTGACAATCATTTTGGAGACTCGAGCCATGTCTCCAAAAGAAGAATCATAGATGATCCTTTGAGGGTACTTATCAAGTGTTATCATACCCTAATGAAATGGACTCGCCATTACCCACAAGATTGTTTGATGTGAGTTTTCAGAAAGTGTCTCCATTTAGCAAGTCATATTTCACCCAAGCATTGGAGGAGCAAATTCCAGAGCCTCTTTGAAACGCAAGCAATGTTCCATGGGGTCAATTCTCGAAGCCCAAGAGCTCCTTCACATTTAGAAAGACAGATTTTAGACCGAGCAACTTTGGCACCATATGTATTTCATAGAAAGGTTGAACATCATGCTGCAGATACAAAATGTATTTAGTAGAAAGTTCATGTAAAAAATAGTCATAGTTCACCCTAGTTCACATCGTGGAAAATGTCACGACAAAGACTCGTATCTTATGCTTGTGATTTTTCGCAATCCCTTGATGTGCAGTTTCGTTATCCAAACGATAAATGCAAGTACAAATATAAATCGGTTTCAACGACGAAAGATTTTAATAAAATTCTAATCAACTATTATATTTTGGCATATGCTTAGCTTTGCATTACATAAGTACTGCAGATACAATATTTCTTTTTATAAATAAGTTATCTTTTATTACAGAACCCGAGGAACTGGGGTGGGTTACATTCCCTACAAGCCGAAGACATCGACCCATAGATCTCAACAAGCACCAAGTTCTTTATTCAAGACTTGTCTTTCCAGTTTCTAATCAGCTGCCAGATTTGGCACCCCCTTTTTCCATAAAATATAAGGTAAACGTACTAATTAATTCATTTAAAGGGATTCAAACCATGTTCTGCATAAGACCTGGTGCCTTGACGAACACGATTAGGCGGCAAAACGAGTCGCAGTCTGTGTACGATTAGACAATAAACATGTAGGGTAAGTACTGGAAAAGTTGAGATTAAACTAATCTCAAGCACGCCTGTCCTCTAAAACTAACGTAAGGCATGAAGTGGCTAATAAGAAGATTAGGAATCCTAACAAGTTGTGGCAGATGATGTTCACTAGATGAGGCGAGACCCAAGAATCGCCTTCACCGGGGTGGTTTCATTGCTGAGTGAGAGAAGGACGGCTCAATTACCTGGAAGACTTAGAGAAATTTAAGTTTCTAACAACCGGTGATTTCGCAAGTTATCATCGGCTAATGATCACAAGTTCGCAACCTTGAGTAATTGGAAATTGATCATGCTGAAGATAACGAACTATTGCGAGATGAGAACCCAATATTTTCTCATTAAGCAGAAGATTGATGGACCTCATGCTTGAAACTGATTATCCTTGTGTAAATTTGGCTTTTACTAAACCCCACCCACATTTTTCTATTGCAGTTTTTGTGACGCAAGGGACTAACTGCAGCAATACGCTGCCAACCCTCACATATTGATTAGGATGCATAACTTGTATTTTATCTTTCCCCTCTTTTTCTCTCTTGACACTTTATAAGATTCCCTTTTATACCGACCGGTCCACACGAGCCGAGCCCTCCGAAATGAGTACTATGAATAATCAAATAAGGTAGCGATCATTTGAGGGGAAGTATAAATTTATGAATCACTCAACAGAGCCTCTTGAATACTCTGATACATCACATTTTCTTTTCGAATTCATTTATGAACAATGGTTGGAACGGTTCCTCAAAGAGTGGAAAAAAGGAAAAAAATATTTGTTGCAACTCTAAGAAAATAGCAGAGTGGATGAGTATATATTTGGAGATAGCATATTTTCGTGTTTAAATTACAGTATCTCTTATTCAGAGTAATTTGAGAGCCACGTCTCCCCGCCGCTCATGATGAAAGGTTAACTACGAGGCGGTAGCATGCAGTATTAACTTAGGATACTTTATGTTATAAAGAAGTATGAGGGAAAAGAAGAAGAAGAAAAGGCTCTGTTTTTCTCTTGTTTGTGGAAACTGACTAGCTGGTCATGATGGAGAGAGAGGCATGCGTTCTTTTTTTTTAGATCCCCACTAATTATATGGTAACAATTTGTATTAGTGGCACGTCCAAATCTTGCATTTAAATGAAGTAACTGATTGATGCTCATTTCCACCACGAAAGTGGTTGCACTAGTGGTAAAAAAAGTCACCCGTCTTTAACAAAATTACGACTTTGATTCGCGTCGTAAGCAAACCTACTTGTGCCGTTTTATCTAGTTATCACATTCCTCGTTTAATGAGACTTCTTGTCTATTAACATCTTGGTGGGGTTACACTGACCTCCTCATTTGGAAAGCTTACCGACTTGGCATCTTGGTGGGATTGCAGTGATGGAGTAGCCACCATCTGACCCTTTTTCCATAGCACACACCCGCATTTGCAAAGGAACAAGAATCATATCAGATTAAGATTAGAATAACAAAAAAGATGGACATAAAGATTGATTACAAATTTGATCGAAAAAGTTATACGCCGAACTTTTTGGAGCGTGTTTAATATGATCTCCCTGTTAAAATATTCTCTCCCAAAATTGGCACCCCTTTTGCGTAAATTTAATTTTGTAAATCAGCTTTGGCATACCTAACATTAGGTAACACTTACTATAAGAAAACCTTTCATTAGAAACATAATCATTTTGCGAGATGAACGAGTTATATAACAAGCCTTTTCATGCAATAGAAAACCGTTCCATCTCAACTCGAGACAACCTCTCCATGTCTTCAGCCGCTGGCTGAATATCCTCGGCTTATTCCGAAATAGAAGAAGTCCTTTTCCTCTTATAAAAAGCAGAGTCACCGGCTGCGAGAAAGTCACATTTAGAGAGAGAGACGGAGAAGAAACACTCGCAAGAAAAAATGCCAATAGCGAGCCAAACACTTGAGCACAACAGCTACCAACTGCTGGACGAAATCGGCCATGGCCGTTTTGGCACCATATTCCGCTGCTTCTCCCCTGCTGACAACTCTTTCGCTGCCTGCAAGGTGATCGACAAGCGCCGCCTCTCTGATGCCACCGACCGCCAGTGCCTCGTCAATGAACCCAAGCTCATGACCCTCCTCTCCCCTCACCCTCACATCCTTCGAATCCTCGACGCCCATGAGACCGACGACCGCCTCTCCCTCGTCCTGGAGCTCTGCGAGCCTGACACTCTCTATGATCGCATATTGTCCCGTAAGGCCCTCCCCGAGCCTGAGGCCGCCGCGTGCATGGCGCAACTCCTCAGTGCCCTTGCTCACTGCCACCGCCTGAGCGTTGTGCACCGGGACGTGAAGCCTGATAACATACTGTTTGATTCGAGGGATGTCCTGAAGCTCGCGGACTTTGGATCTGGGGCCTGGTTGCGTGAGGGCAGGCCTGTGGAGGGCATCATGGGGACGCCGTACTACGTCTCACCGGAGGTGCTGATGGGGAGGGAGTACGGGGAGGAGGTGGACGTGTGGAGTGCCGGGGTGGTAATGTACGTGATGATCGTGGGGTCCCCGCCGTTCTGGGGCGAGTCAGCCTCGGAGGTCTTCGAGGCGGTGCTGAGGGGGAACCTGAGGTTCCCAGCGAGAGCCTTTAGGATGGTGTCAGCAGCGGCGAAAGACTTGTTGAGGAAGATGATTTGCAGGGATGTTTCCAGGAGGATTTCTGCAGAGCAGGCCTTGAGTGAGTGCTTCCAACTTTTTTGCCCATCATTTTCATCATCCATTTGGTTTCGTTTCGCATTAAAATGTTTAAAGCACAATTGTAGTAGACTTTGCAGGCCTTGAAAACGGTGTTGAAAGGTCTTTGCAGCTAAAAACTTTTATTATGTTATTTCTAGACAAAAAGAATTGAAGAAAAGTTCTTTTCTGAATGAACCGAAAGTATATTTGTTAGCTTCCTTTTCAGCGTTCTAGAAATTTAAGGAATGTCACGTTGATTTACTGCGTTGATCTCTCCAAGATTGAGCAATCATCTTAATCTAGGGAATGATACTTTTTCATCTTTTTGTGCCTCTCTTAAGGTATTCCTCTTGTTCTGTTTTTGCTCTGCTTTTCTTGAGCAGGACATCCTTGGATCCTGAGTGGAGGGGAGACTGGACTTGCCTGATCTGACCAAAAAACAGGTTCACCTACCTCTCAGAAGCACAGAGAGACTCACTGTCAAAAGTTGCCTATAAATGTTGCTTATCAATTATGCCACTGATGTGAATAATTTTCTTGAGAGAGAGAGAGAGAGAGAGAGAGAGAGAGAGAGAGAGAGAGATGACCAAGTTTGCATTGCATTTGTCTAATGCAACAAACTGAAGATTCCTCGGATGAACATGACTCCAATGACCCACCAAGCTTTATTTTTGGTACGACTCTGCAGTTGGTGAGTGGCCACATGAGTCTGCCCCCGCAAGTGACAGTAGCTTCATCTTCCCCCAGAATATCAGCAACTCTTTTGTTAATTTTATGATCTGTGCTTATTGTATAAACTTTGGTTTATATGAGAATCTGAGACAGTAGATTAGATACTACTGGCTTAAGAACTTTTCTGGTCCTTCTCTCATCGAATTATTTCCTGATATTTGGAGAGATTAACCGATGTGAATTGAAGGTAAAGATGGTTTGTCTTCAATTAAGAAAGTAAATTAATTCCCAGAAGAATTGGATTTGAGAATCAGTGCCTTCGTGCTAATGATGGATGGTTATTGAATGAAGAATTTGTAGTCTCTATCACTTGGAGTTAAATCTGATGAAGAATTTGTGCTGCTTATCATGTGGTTTATTGCATTTGCAGAATCTAAGGGAAACAATAGACAGACCAGATGCTCTCAAAGGGTTTCTGACTTATGATGATTATCCCTGTTCATTCTACCTTTGACAAAATGTTGTCTTGCTGAACATTACACTGTGAAAAAGAGAAAATTGCTTCATAAATGATTGAATTGGTACCTGAATACATTTGTCTTATATCTTATCGAGCTAGTTGATGGAGAAATTATGTGGCTATTTTTTGACATTGGGCATGGACAAGATATTGGGAACGCGCAGTAGAAGCTCCATACCTTCACGTGGAGAGATCGCTAAGTGGGAATCCAAGTTCGAACCCGTCAACGTATTTAGTTGAACTTGCTTTCGCTAAAAAATTTAAGCTAATGAATTATGGGATTTCTTTCCTAACAGATTTGATTTAACAAACCGATCTACATCCTCCAATTAGGTTGGGTTCCGTATATGGCTCAAACTCGAGACATAATCTAACACGGCGAAGCGAATAAATCTACTCAAATGATTGCAAAATTGCTGAGAGGGGGAAAAGTTAGCTACTAGTGATGCCATCATGAAGTCCGAGTTTGTTAGATTGTCGAGATGCATCTGAGTTATATGCAACAGACAAAAGGTTTCAGAAGTCAATTTTGCTGCTCTATCCTTATAGTTGTCTTTACTTACATAAAAAAAATAAAAATGGTACAGCTGAAACAGGGGGAGCATGAAGCATTTGCCTGGCTCTGTTATTTCATAAAAGAAAGTTATTGTGTCCTCAATTCAATTTTGTAAAAGAACATACATTCATACTGAAATATGGCAAAAACCATTAAAAAAAAGAAATCCCAATCTTGCAGCCACAATACATACTATTGCAAAATATGTTCTTCAAAATTTAGATATTAAATTACAGATTCATCTAACAATTTAAACTGACGGTATCAGAGCATGAGATCGAGAGTTCAAATTTTTCCTGGTCCGTTATTTACCTCTCTTATTATATATTTTTACGCATAGACCAGTTGTAAGAGGAAGCGTGAATTTAAATATTAAATAACGATTTCATCCAACAACTTAAGTTTTCAGAGGAGTTAGCTGTGGACCAATAAAATCTTTGAGTCTCATCTCTTTTATGTCTTATTATGTTTCTTTTTTGACGAAACTCATGCCAAATCTAGATGGATGCAATGTAGCTCACCAATCAATAGTTCCTTTCTAGTGGGCCCAACATAGTCTACGATATGTGTTGTGTGAAATGAAGCATGAGTTGAAAGAACAAGCAAAGAATTTGCATGATTGAGTATTGTAACTGAAATCCATGTGAAGAGACAACTCGAAAATTATTTTTATTAATGAAGAATTAATCTGTAATACGCGGCATATATCAAGTTTATGAATTTAGGGGAAATAACAAAAGACCCTGCACGATTGGCGGTGAAACTTTGGCCGCTAGTCAGAACCTTGCTGAAGTTTCATTTTATTAAATCTATCAATCCTCCATCTATTTTTCCGTTTGCACATGCCTACCATGTGATTTTCAAGGGAAAAAAATTGTATGCTTCTCATTTTCTTTTTCAGTCAAATCACTCTCTTGCCTCCATATAGGCTAAAACAAATCAAAATTCATACAATAAATGCAGAAAAACAAGAAATACATCTAACGATCAATAAAAAGACGACAGCCACGACATGAAGAAGAACAAGGAGACAGCCTCCGGAGGATCTTCTTTCTCGTGATGATGGTCCTCTAGGATCAATGACGAATCAAGGGCACTGGCAGGGCCCAATATATCACTCTGATCTACGAAACTTGAGGAAGAACCTCAACTCGACTCATCATCCTATCCTTGATGACATTATAGGAATCGAGGCATGTCAGCAAGGCTAAGATAATGTTGCTCCCAGTGATCGTCTTTCCACCGGGCGAAGTCAACTTCTGGATTACGTTCCAACACCTCCTTATAGTACTCTTGGGCTGCGTTTGGTCGTCCGGATTTCTAAACAGGATAGGATTGGATATGATAGGATAAGAAATCCTGGGATTTCTTCATATCTTGTCCACTGTTTGGTGGACTACGAATTTAAAGTCGGATATGATAATTTTTATTTTATTTTTTGCTATTCACGGGTCCGGAGGAGTCGGTGAAGGAAAAAAAGCCGAGAAATTTTTTTGATGAAAGCGCACAAGGTGTGGGGATGAAGATGACGGCGAGTGGAGCGTAGGGTTTATGGAAAAATAGGCATTAGAAATCATATCCGGGTCTATTCCACCCCCGGATTTTTTTATCCGGGTTATATCCGGTCTATATCCGACCTTATCCTATCCTAGACCACCACCAAACACAGGATAGGATAAAACATATCCTATCCTGGCTTTTATACGGTCGACCAAATGCAGCCTTGCAGAATAGCCTCCCTCATTCTGCTACTGCTGTACGGATAGAACACAAGAGCAAATTTTTTTGGCATCTCATTGAAGTAATAAATAAATTGCAGGAACCAAACAAGTAAAACAAAACAAGTGATTTTCAGTTTTGTTTTAATCCTAACGTGATGATTAACCATATATGTAGGAATGAAATTTTGGTTAATTTTTTTTGGGGTTTTCTCTTTTAAGTGAAATCTAAGCTATATGCAATGCGTGTAATACGAGTTTAGGTCTGAATGTGACTATTCTAATATGTCACGCGACATGCAATGACCTAATATAACTCTAAACTAAACTAGTCTACATAACATAAGATATAATTACATAACTGGACGTAAGAGATGATTACTAAATGACATGCATATGATATTTTTTTTATATTTTCCATTAAAATTCGTAATTAGAAAATAATGAAAATAAATTATCTAGATTAAGATATTATCCAATTCATTTTAGGAATTAAACTAGGCCAAATCCTAATTTAAATTATAATATTATCTGAACTAGATAAATTCTATCTTAGCATGCAATTTATCTATAAAAAGATTTTAAATCTTATCCTAATTTATTATGAAATCTAACCTAAACATGCAAGGTTATCTAGAATTCATATATCCTAATCTATTAAGGAAAGGACTATCTAAAACCTATTCTAGAAATCTTATCTAATCTTTTTGTAATTTTCAAATAAAGGAAACAAAACAAGACAGGATAACCACCGAAACATAATATACACATCAAATCATGAAGATAAGCACAAAATATTCCAATTGATTCAAATTTAGTAACAAATAAAACCAGCGAATATGAGGATTGGATTGGCCGCTTTTCCGTGGGGTAGTGAGTTGTATCTCGAGCATGAGATTGGACTGTCGACCAATGCAAGTTGTCAAATTAGGAAAATTTCCTAATTTAGGGGATATCTCAAAGATTCGCGTTAGATAACAATTGTTCAAAATAGGCAGTAAAATCTGAAAATCGAATTGGATAATCACTGTTATCTAATTTGATGATCATGTTTCCAAATAAGAACTCGATGGACGGGCTCTTGAATAGTGGCTGGGGACGATTAGCCCGCTCGTGGAATAGGGCAAGGGTGCTTGGCCGGTGGTTGTGGTGCAAGCTCGCAACCAAGAGCAACAGCGGCGAGGAGAAGCTGCTGATCGTCAATGATGATTTCACGGTGATCCTTGTGATCGATAATCGGCAAACCTGCAAAATAGTGAACGGTGAGTCGCCGTGATGGCTGGACAAAGGTTGACGGCAAGACTCGTCATGCAGGACTCGTTGTCACGACTCGGGTTGGCACAGCAAAGTTGGAACAGAGCAGCAGCTGCATGAGGTTATCGTCGAGGAAACAGCAGCTCGTCAAGGTGGCTGAACTAGGGAGCGACGACGAAGGCAGCAATGTCGTCGGTGGAGGGCTTGGCTTCTCGGATCAAGGGCGAATCAACAAGGACAGCAGGTCGCAGCAGTCGTGGTCGTGGCTGGGTGATGCTGCTGAGCTCAGTGATGTTCGTGAATCCATCGTTGGAAGGCCGATCACTCGCGGTACGAATTGGAACTCGTGGTACTGTGGCTGCTGGTGGCTTGATTGTGGGAGCGCAGGGTCTGGAGCATTGGCTCCTGGGTCACACGGCAGAAAATTGGGATAGTGACGGAGCAGCTCGGTTGGCTGGGCTGAGGTCTCTCTCGCTCCCTCTCACTCACGCGTGTTTCTTTATGTGTTTTCCGAATAATGAATTGCCGACGTCCGATTTACGAGACATAATGATGTTTATATAGTGGAGTTGCCAAGCTGTGGCGACCCTCCCGAAAAGTGCACAACTTAAGGATTGGCTAATGGATTACTAAGTCTACACACATAGCCTAAGGGTTGGCTAATGGAATACTAAGTCTACACATAGCTCGGGCTTTCCCAAGCCATA